GTCTTTCTTCTTCGCTCTGCTTGGTATTACAATCAGGGACGTGAACCGGGTTTGAACTGGAAAACCGATTTTTTCTATTAATTAACTGAACCATTAACCGAACCGAAATTTTCCACAAATGTTTGATCCGAACCGAAAACCGAACCACTTTCCATAAAGGTTTAAAGGTTCGTTTCAACCAATTTTCAATAGATAAATGTACCAACTTTTTTTCCTGTACCGCTGTACCGAACCGACCAAATTTTTCACCCGGTTCACGTCCCTGATTACAATGCTCTCAGAAGATGTATCCATAGACATATGTACATTCTGGATACACAACCATATCAACCGAGAATTTAGGCTTAATAATGGCATACGAAATGGAATTCGATCCAAGTATGCGATAAAGTAGCACAATATTCGCTTTATATGTAACCTTCCTTGCCTACCAAGCGGCCCATGAGGACCTCTGATCAAACTATCTATCCGAGCTACCCATCCAAGCCACTTATGAACTTCTGGGTCCTGGTAATAGCGATACGTCAAATCCTGCCCAAAAAGTTTGGTTCTGTCGACGACCGAATATATGATGAGAGAACAGACGAATTTGTGACGAGAGAACAGACGAATATGTGACAAGAAAACACACACATACTAGAGGAAGGGAGTTCGTGTGGAGATAAAAAAGGGGACATCCAAGTAAGTCAATGCAAATATTTTTATCTTCACTCGGTGATGAAGAACGAATGATGATGATGGGAATTTGGACAAGGCACCGGAACATAAGACTAGTCTTGAAGCTTCGTCCACTGCGTCCAACTAGTCCCCGGCGACCAAAAATGCGCAGCATAGTTTAGGCCGGCCAATTGCCTTGTACTTATGTTGCCAGCAAAGTTTCTTTGTCTTTTGCGCCAGGGGCTGCCGGCGAGCGACTTGGCTCTGTACTTTGTTGACAACTGAGGTTGTGTGCACGGAGAACAGTCTATCTACGGTGACCCTAAAATTTTTGGGTTGTTCACTTTCGGAATTGGTGTGCCATCGGCGTGAATGCCTAATTGAAGCCTGTCCTCCTTTGTCCAGATGATTTCGTTGGGCAGAGTGTTAAGCCCCTTGCAGTGAAGAAGCGAGAAAGTCTGGAGAGATAGCCGTTTACTTTTGAGCAGTGGTTCTCAATCCATTCCAGACGCCAATATCGAACAGTCGTCAGCGTATGAAATCAGGGAAACTCCTCTCCCTTGTTTGATTCTTTTAGGTTTCGAGGTTTGATCTCGGACGATTACTGACGACTGTCGACCACTCATATAATTCGCCTCCGAACAGGCACGTCAAGGGGCACCTATTCATTTACAAGGACGCGGTCTACACTCACATCGACCAACCACTGGACCCGACGACATACCGACGAGCGATCAACGGCATTCATAGGGAGTCGATCACTACCTACCACGACTCCCGGCCTATGAATGCCGCGATCGGAGCCCAATCACCACCTTTGTCAGATATGGAGCTTTAACTGCCAAGAGACTTTAGCCGCCTCAACAGCTACTGATTCAGACTCGATCCCAATATCCCCAATGAGTGCCCGGCATGTGGAGACTCCCCGCACGACACCAACCACCTCTTCAAATGCCAGCTTAATCCTACTCAATTAACACCCTCCTACCTTTAGTCCAACCCTATTGAAACTGCCCGATTCTTGGGCCTACCTTAGTTTGGCTTGGCGACAATGATTGAAGGAGGAACCGAAATAGGTGGGGCTTAGTAGTGCCGCTACAACAACAATAACTAGTCTTGAAGCGAGGAAACCCCAGAATATTTTGGGAACATGCTGGGAAACTAATTGAACTTCACATTTTTAGAGCATAGTTTCTCCGAAAACTTGTAGATGATGTCTAGGCAAGATATCGTTTGCAGGGCAAATCAAATAATTTTCAATCTTAACTCGACGATCGAAAATCAAAAAACTTGCCACATGGTTCTTAAAAAAACTCCACACTGGCCGGGAATTTCAATCATTGTCCATATCGAACACCCACTTCAAAAGAGGCAAAACTTAAAAAAAATGTTAGTCAATTTTTTGCATAAATCAATTCGTGTAAAGTTCAGACTGCCCTGGCCGGAAGTTCAGCATTACGACGAGATGCAGTTTCGAGTAATTTATCGTACATCTCTGATCATCATCGTTTTAGAAGCACCTACACGTAACCACTCCCCTAAATTCTTAACTCAGATTGGCTTTACAGCTTATTGTAAAACCCTGTATGCTTGAACCGCAAACATGTACTTATATAAATATTTCCCACGTTTTCTTAATCAAGCGCTAATGCGAATCATAGAGCCAATGCAAATTTGCAATTTTCAAAACTGATAAGCGCTTGCAACTATAACTATGTATACATTACATACATATATTCATATATATACATACGTATATTTTTATTGGAAATCAAGAACAAAGAGGTTTTTGAACTTACATTGTGGTTATACGCATAAACTTACACACATATTCATACATAATGTACATACATTAGACCGTACCGGAAATAAAGTTCGTGTGAAGTATTTTTGTAAGGCAATTTCGATTTTTTTGCCCTTTTACATTTTTCATCATATCTTTTTCAGGATGTTCTTGTCTCCAGGAGATATTTTTTTTTCAAAGGTCATTAACCTCAAGTACCACTGTAATGTCAGTATATTAAAACCCACAAAAAATCGCAACATTTTTGCTAAGGAATTATTTTCATTATTCCAGTAGAACTATTAAAAAAAAGAAGATATTACCGAATATATGTATGTATGTAAATATGTACATATATAGGTGTCGCCCGACAAATTTTTGAGAAAAAAAATTTTGTGTTCGAAATTCTCTTGCCTAAATACTTTAGACTTAGAGGTTTACGGAGATTTTTTTTTGTTTGCTTGTAAAGTGGTACTGCCTAATGTACATATGTAAATAGGAAAATACAAAATTCTATAAAAGAAATGTTTCGCTTGAGCGAAGCGCAGTCAATGCGTTTGCTTCAAAGACAGGAAATCAACAACTCTGTAAGCTAAAAATGGCGCCAGTAATTGGTAGAAATTCTGATCTCCAGCACAACGGGAAAGTTATGCAGCGAGTGTATAAACTGTATAATGAACAGAAATTTACAGATATCTTATTTGAATTTCCTAATACAAATTATGCGTGAGTTAAATTTTTTTAATTTAATTTTGTAATTTTTATTTCATGGTATGAAAATCCATCTAAACGCGTACATACACAAATGCCTCGTAACAACGTAAACCTCATAAACTTGTTTAATTTTGTATTGAAAAGCGGTTTATTTAAAAAGTTTACGGGGTTACGCGGCATTTAGACGAATAACCCTGTTATTTTACTTTATTGTATTTTTTTATATAAATTTATTTAATAATTTTATATTATTTTAACTATTTTATTTTTGAAAAATTTTTAAAAATTTTTGTATTTGATTCTAATCACACTTTATTTATTTAATTTAGTTTAGTTTTTCGTTTTTTTTTTTGTTATTTAGTTTATTATTATATTTTGGATATTTCAGCTTTTTATTTTAACAACATTTTACTCATATTATTTTATTTATTTTTTTTTAATTTTTTGTTAATTTAGTTTATTATTCTATTCTTCTTTTATTTTAAAGTATTGTATTTTATTTGATTTTACTCTATACTATTTTTTTATTCAATTTGCTTTTTTTCATTTCATTTTATTTTATTCTAATTTATTTTGATTTTTGAATTAAATCCTTTTTTGTTTTTATTTTATTGTATTTAATTTATTTTAATGTAATAATTAATTTATATAATTTTTTATATTATTTTTACTATTTTATTTTTAAAATATATGGGGCATATTCATATTCCAAATAAAGTCGACTCTAAAATTAGTTTCAGCTTTTTTACCAGATATTCCATAGATAATTATGTTAAAAAGCTGAAACCAACTTTAGTGTTGACTTTATTTTTACTATGAATTATACGCTATATTCTTTTGATATAAATTATTAATTTTAATTAAACTGCATTTATTTAATTTGAATAAATTTTTATTTTTAATTTAGTTTATTATTTATTATTATTTTTTGGATATTTTATTTTAATGAAATTCTATTTATTTAATGTATGTAATTTAATTCTTTGATTATTTTTGCAATTTAGTTTATTATTTTATTCTTTTGTTATTTGAAATTGATTTATTTCATTTTATTATACTTTATACTATTTTTTTAAATTCAATTTACTTTTTTATTTTATTTAATTGTATTTTCTTCAAATTTTATTTGATTTCTGATTTTAATTCTTTTTTGTTTTTATTTAGTTTAATTTAAATTTTTTATATTATATTATTTTATATTATTTTTAAAATACATATTTTGGATATTCGTAATTAATGTATTTTTTGTTATTTTTGGTCTTATTACCATTATAATCAACAGTTTTATTGAGCTTGAGGCCGTTTTTAATGAAAATTTTTTGTGAAAAAAAACTTCTACCAAAAATGTAAATTGTGGTTTTTTTCACAAATGAATTTGATTAAAAACAGCCTCAAGCTGAGCAAAATTGTTGAATATAATTCGTTATTAATTTTAATTAAACTTCATTTATTTAATTCAATGCATTGTTTTGATTTAGTTTCTTATTTGTTATGTATTCTATTTTGGACATTTTATTTAAATGAAATTTTATGTATTTAATTTAATTTAATTTGTTTATTTTTTATCTTTGCAATTTAGTTTATTATTTTATTCTTGTATTTTAAAATATTTTATTTTACTTTATACTGTTTACTTTTTTATTAAATTTATTTTTATTTAATTTAATTTAATTTATTCTAATTCATTATAATTTTAAATTTTAATTCTATTTTGTTTTTATTTTATTTCATTTTACTTTTATTTTTTTATAGTATGTATTTAAAAATAATTATTTCTTTATTTCTCATGCTATGTTTTTACTTCACTTTCCCTGCTAACATCTCCACCTCAATTTTTTATCTTCTCTTCAACCTATTTATGAATGCAGTTTTACTGCACATCGCCTGATTCTCGCCGCGGCTAGTCCCTCGCTGTTGGACCTCTTCGACCGCACAGAACCCAGTTGTCAGTCAATGACTATAACAGATTTTGATAGCGATACTTTTGAACAATTGGTGGTTTATTGCTACAACGGGCAAACGGATATAACCGCGGGTAATGCAGAGCGTATGATCAGAGGTGCTGTAACGTTACGTTTGGATGGCGTTATCGATGTTTGCGTTGACTATTTGATGGATCATCTAAACGATTTTTTGCTCCGCAAGCTGATTTCACTCGAAGCTGATATAAAATGTAAACCATTGGAGTCACGAATAATTGATTATATTGTTGCGAATTTCAAAAAGGTGAGATAGTGAAATATGATTTAAATAGTTGAGAGCTCAAGTTGCTTACATTTATTATATCGAAAACATAAAGGCAATTGAAATTCTTGACCTTGGAGCAGCTGTTATCGTTTAAAGATATTTATTGAAGACTCAAACGATAACGGAATCGCTAAAAATATCGTAAACAAGTACATATATCGATATTGGTAGCGAAATGATGATCGCGCTGGCATTATTATAACGACAAGGTTAAACTTATAGTGAAAGGGAAAATGTGCAAGTGTGAAGAAAAATTCACTTACCAAAAGTTAAAAAAAAATTGGTTGCCCTAACAAAATTAATTTCAGTAAATATCCCCGACGACGGTCCATACATTTGATTTGGAAAGGTAAAGCTTACATTTTTCATTACTATTATAGAGATACGTATAAAGAATTTCATTGTATGAGCTATTTTTTTCTTTTCCAGTTAACAAAAAAAAAACGTTAACCTTACCGTTTCCATGCATTGCATGTTTCACTAAATTTTTAAAGTTTTCAATTAAATTTGTATAGACGCGTGCATGGGAAAAGTTTTTTCTGCTTGTCACAGCTATAAAATTATTTTATAATCTCATTGAGAATTGTAAATGAAGTGCCCTTAGCGTGAAACATTCTAGTATCTTCTCACCCTTAGACAACTTAATCGTTCACTAATTCAGTGATGATCAGTTTGGAGCTTTGACACTGTGTGCACTCAAGTAAGATCCTTAGAAAGCTATTAGACGCTTTTCACGCGGTATATGTTTTGGACATGTCTGCACTAAATACTGGTTTGAGCTTCGAAAGTTCATTTGTTTTATTTCAAACGATGACAAGCGCTTTCACTGTTTCTGTATGAGTTTCATTCCAGGTTAACAAGGACAATGAAATATTTGGCCTGAACGCGGCACAATGGAAGGTAATCATAGCAAAAGTAGACGCCAATGAAGTTACGCAGGAAGACCTCTTTTCGGCTATAGTGCGCTGGTACAAATACAATGTCGGCGTGCGACAACAAAACTTACCCGATGTCATTGGTTCGCTAAGGCTAGACGAATTTGAGACGGAATTTATTGAGAAGCAAATTAAACCATTACCTGGCTGTGAGCGCCTGGCCATGGAAGCGATTAAGAAACGTGGAGATTCCATCTCTTGGCTAGCTGTACAAAATTTCGGAGAAGTTAGTATGACCTTAATTTCTTATTCGCATAAAATTATTAAACAATTTTTGCATAATACAGGATTGGTTGGGTGTCAAGGATATATTACGTTTCAACCAAGCTAAGGAAATATGGGAGAAAGTTACCAGATTGGAAATAAAAAGATATGGCTTTGATACAGCTTTCATTGAAAATTGCTTCGTTTTCATTGGTGGTCGTAGTATTAATGGACCCAGTAAAGACGTTGTCAGCTATAATTTGCTAACTAAAGAATGGACTACACTATCGTCAATGCAAGAACATCGTAGTAGTGTTTGTGTTGTCGTTTTGAATAAGTACATCTATGCAATTAGTGGAAAAAATAAAAGAGGCGATGCATTAACTAGTGTAGAAAGGTAAGCGATGTTCACTTCAGTGATGTGGTTGGTATGTACGATCACTTACATATGTACTCGTATGTACCTGTAAATATAAAGTGAGCTTTAAAGTTCAAGGTTACTTGAGAAAACTGCCCCTTAATCTTTTACTTAGATTCGATTGGTCAACTGGTAGATGGCAATATGTGGCTAATATGCCACGTTTTGCTGAAGCTGCTACAGTTTTGAATGGCGACATATATGCATTTGGCGATATAGACGTTGCACGCTATAATGCAGCTACCAACAGATGGGAGCAACGCAGGTCAATGTTGGATAGACGCTACTCACCAGCTGTAAGTAGAGACATAGAAAATGAGCATTAATTTCTATTTGAGGATATTTGGTTTCGGTAGAGCGTAAAACTATCGAGGTAAATATATCGACGACATTGATTGTTATAGAAAACGATAACGATTAATGTTTAATAACGATACAAAAGTCGATTACGATTAAATTGGTACATTTCAGATTTGTCGAAGAGTGAAATTCCGAAGCACACGAGTTGTAATTTAAATTTTGCTCTGAAAAGGTCTTCAAGCAATTTCTATAGCCATGCAGCGTCCTCTTTTAAAATTTTCCAAGTAAGAAATAGAGTAAAAAACAGGGCAAATAAGCTTGAATTACAAAAATAAGCATTTACAGTGATTATTTTCCCTCGAGGAAAATCTATGTCCTTATCTCTCAAGGGTATTTTTGTGTTAGAACTCAATATTCCCCTTAATATTTTATCAAATTCAATGATTGCGGCAAAATTAAGAAGAGTGGAAGCACGCGTACGTGCGAAAAATAGTCGCGTTGTTAAAATTTAGTTATTTCGTTAAAAAAAGTTTTTGTAGAAAGCTAAAGCGCTGTATCAGCGAATCCATCTCCATACTTTCCATAATACATACCCTGTAAAATTTATTGATTGGAACACCATTTCGAAGATCAGCTTCACCACTTTAGGTAAATAATACAGAGTTGTAAAGGGTTGCCACCTTTATAAAATTTAGTGAACTAAATATATGCATATATTAGGTAAAATATTACGAAGCGTTTTGAGTATGAAAGGCATTTGAACAAACTCTTATTCAGAAATAATAATTTGGAAGAGGGTTGCCAACTATATAAAAATTTAAGGCTCTTTACATATAAAACAAAATTGCTTATGTAAGACCGAGCGTAACTCTTGAACGGATCTCCAATATGAGCTGTATTTTTTGTTGTATTTGTCTCCGCTCAAGAAAACTTGCGAAACATCGAGTAAAGTGAGAAAAGTTCTGAAAAATTGAAAATATCTGAAAAATTGATTTTTCATAGATTTAAAATTTTGATCGTATTATTACATTTCAATTTTAAAATTGCATCAATGTTAACTTTTGCGGTCATGGCTCAATTGCTGCGGAGATAGTTGGAATTCCTCGAAAATAGGGGTAGTCACCGAATTGAGCAAGTGACGGGACGTGGTACTCGGGTAAAAGAGCTGATTAGCTCAAAGCAACGAAAGTTGCCAAAGTTGCTGCTTGAGCTAATCCGCTCTTTTGCCCGAGTGCCAGGCCAATTTCTCAATTGGTTGAATACCCCTAATGTAATTTCATTGTTCGAAAACCATTATGAGGCCGATCAGATCAACTTTTTTTTTACTAAATAATGCCTTTTTAAAATAGTTATGTAAACACTTTGCAGGTGACTGCACATGAGGGATTTATATACGTAATTGGTGGCAGACATAGTGATCATAGAACCGCTGAACGCTACAATCCACAGCGAAACGAGTGGACTAGGGTTGGTATAAGTTTACATGCAACCTGATGGCAACTATACACAAATTTTACTTTCTTATATTTCTTTATAGATTGCCTCCCTAAATGTTTCTCGTCGTTATATTTGTGCCGCATCCATAGGTGGTCAACTGTGGGCGTTCGGTGGTGTCATCGATCCTGCCAAGTGGACTGATGACGTTGAACTTTACGATGCGGCAGCTGACAAATGGTTGGTAAAGAAAAATCTTCCCGTAACCGGGAAGTTCAGCTGTCATGCGGTGCCGACAAAATTTGTGGAAAAGCTATATTAAAAAGTATTTTATGAAAAAAAAGGATTTTTAACATGTGCCATTAATAAAGTAAAACCAAAGCGAAAATGTCCTTTTCTCCTTGTTCGAAACAAAAAAAAACAAAATAAAATCAAAAAGCGAAATAAAGTAAAAAGAATATACATAATTAAAATAAATTGAATAGAAAAAAATAAATAAATAAAAAAATAAAAATAAAAATAAAAATAAAATAAAATAAAAAAAATAAAATAAAATAAAATAAATAAAATGAAATAAAATAAATTAAAATAAAATAAAATAAAATAAAATAAAATAAAATAAAATAAAATAAAATAAAATAAAATAAAATAAAATAAAATAAAATAAAATAAAATAAAATAAAGGTACGTGAAATAGCCATCGGTTACAGAGGTAGGACTGAAAAGTTTTTCAGCTGCAACTAAACGAATTTCCCTCAGTACTTCGGATCTAGTACGGGTTTACTACAGGGGTTTCATACTGGTATGGTCGGCCACCGAGTGGGGAGTAGATACTACGAAATTTCCGAATAGGTAAATGACGGAAAAAAGAAATAAAAATAAAAAAAACTGCTGAACGATGCACAGTAGAGAAGGTGACAGAGTTAGACTGAAGCAAACAAGAATTTAAGCAAAAGTGTAAATAGAGATATTGCCGGACAAGTGAGGGCCAAAAGCTGAAATACGCAAGCGAACAGCACAAAAACTAAAACAAGTAATACAAAACAACAACGTTTTTGCTATATACATACATACATATATTTATGTAGATTAGTGCGGGTAAATTTTTTTTTGACTATGAGCGTGTAGCACAGAAGGATTCTAAGTGTAAATCCAGGCAAATTTGCCGAAGAAATCATGGGTCTAAAATCAATGTGGAGTTTGCCAAATTACAAAAATTGGTTTCGAAGAAATTGTGAAAGTTTTCACTGTTGTGCCCTCTGGTGGAAGCTCCAAGAAAAATATAAGTGCAAAATTGTATTCCTCATTCCAAAAAACCCCTTATATAAAATTTAAGCACTTCTTTACGACACTACAGCAAACTGCTAAAAAATCAATTTTAGCAATTTGGCAAACTCCAAATTATTTTTAGACCTACGGTTTATTTGACAAATTTGCTTAGAATTACACGTAGAATCCTTCTGTGCTATACATGCATAGTCGGAAAAATTTTCATACAAATTGACCCGCCCTAATGTATGTGAGTACGAATTGTGGAGCTGTTTGGAGGGCATATGCAGTTGAAGCGCCTGTATTGGGGATGGCAGAAAAAAGATGAAAACAACAACAAAAAAAAACAAATATAACCAGACCGAAAAATGACGCGTTGAGACTTTATTAGCCGCGTAGCTCCACGTCCTCCACGTCCATTCGTCTGCGATGGCATAAGTGCGCGCTCCAGCACAGTTAAACAGCCAGCATAGGATGTTATATACATACATACCATGTATTATGTACATTGCACATAGAAGTGTTATATACAAAATACATGTCCACATATGCATGTACATAGGTATGTATTTAGGTCTTAATAAAGGCATACATACATATGTCCGGGTATATAAAACAGCAAATAAATGGCAGCGGCGCACACTGAGCCACTGGGGCTCGTCGGTAAGAAAAAATTGTGTGTAAGTGTTCAAGTGCTGGGGGACTTTATTCAATTATCTCGCTGACTGTGATGTGCTCCTAGTATTTTTTTTTGATAGAGCAGTTGTACTTTCATATGATTCTACAGATTTGTATGTACACATATATGTATATGTATATATGGGCAGCGTTGTAGCTGTCGTTGTCACGCTAAAAGCTGGATTGCAGACATTTTACAAGCTTTGCGAAAAAAGTTGAGTTTTTCTGGCCCCCACACATAGGCACTGAAAAGATGAGTAGAAAAAATAATTTGCTATATTTTCATGCACACGATATATAAGTAGATATTTATGAGTGTGCTAATCGAGGTACGCACTTAGCGTATAACGAAAATTTTTAGCCGAAAATTATAAAAAAAATCAATTTGAAGCTTTCAAAAAAGCTCCACAAGAAAAGCATTTCAAAGCTTTCTATAGATCTTACATACTCGCAAACAAACTAAAAGCGCTGCTTTTCAGTGCTATCTTTGGAAGTAACTCTTAGGTATTTGATTCAACAATACTCAAAAGAAACACTGATGCTCTCAAGAACCACCAGAAACACATAGCGAAGGTTTGACGCCAAATTTAGCCTGCTTTTCATTCATGGAGATGGTAGTTAGAGCTACGTACACTGGCTTATGCTCGCTTTTAGTTCTCCGTCCACAAGCTAAAGGGCTGAAATGACAGCACAGCCAGTTCACCCGGAGATGATAACAGAACATATTTAGCCAAATCAGGAAAATTTGGGCTTACTGGTATGCAGAGTCCGCGAAACAGGGCCCACGCTTTTAACTGACCGTACATCCAACAGAAAATGATATCCCTGCTCGATGTCAGAGGATGATTGAACCCTCTGAAAAATGGTAGAGACCAGAGTCAAAACTATACCATTTGTGTATACTCTATTTCAAAGAGGTTGCTTTTTTTCGTCCGATTACCATCAGACAGACCTCTAGCCAGGGACAGTAATGCATAGTCCGTTCGCCTCAACCGGAAATTTCAATGCCGTCTTTAGATGGAAGCCGTCACATCAGGAGTAAAAAAACTTCGGCTGATGTTCAGAAATTTGTGCAAGTGTGCTTTTGAATTCGAAATGGCAAAGAGGCTGCGGAAACTTAGTACTCTTCATGGGATTACGAGTACAAGAACTAAAGATACATGATCGTAGGGAGCGTTTTCAACATTCTGCCGCATAAAAACTTTCACGAAGGAGCTAATTTTGTCTACAGAGCAGTCGGTAAAGGATGCAACGCAAAGCTGGCTTGCATGTAGAGGTGGAGGATTATATCAAGTAAGTTTAAATTTAAGGAGAAGGAAGACCTATAACTGAGCTGAATAAAATCCATCTGTTCAGAAGCAGGCCAGCATAGCCGCCATTATTTCCTTATTTGGTAACAGTTACTAAGTAGCATCCTGTCTTGTTATCGATTGAGCTCCAGCTCTGAAATTATTCAATTTGGAACCCGTTTGTGGCAGTAAAGGAAGAGGGAGGCCCCCACTGAGATGGAAAGATCAAGTAGAGAAGGACTTGGCTTCACTTGGCATTTCCAGTTGGCGTTTTCGAACGTATCATCGATGAGTTTTATGGCCACCTATTTTAAAGGTGTTATATTTGTAAGCATCCAGTTCGCTGTTTTCTTGGTTGCTGGTACCGATGCTTGAAAACCACTGCAGTGGTTCGGCAGTCTAAATTACAAGTTGATGGAGAGTTCTTCGCAAAAGACAACAAATCTTTCCACCTCTTCGTCCAGCATCGATTCATTTGTGAATATGTTTCAGATACTACACCCCTGAGTGTTCGGTTTGGGCCGATTTAAACTCAAAGTTTCTTGGAACTCCAGAGTTTTCATAGCTGTCAGGGAATTTAAAGACCACACACCTCAATGCGGTGAAGAAAGCGGCAGCTACGCCTGCTATACCTACGGACACAGCACATAGAAGAGCTCTAAGAACGAGAGTATGGTTGATTCGAATTGCGCTACTGATTCCAATTTAAACAGATCTTTGCACTCTCTCTACCTCCCTAACGGTAGTGACGTTGTCAAGTGCGCTCCACCATATTAGGGCTCACAATAAAATTGGTTTGATTATGGTAACATAGAGCCTTTAAACCACCCTCGGCGAAAAGCGCCAGAGTTTTCCAACCGACGCCTTCTTTAGACTTTCCTCGCTGCTCGGCTTCCTAAAAAGCTTGCTATCGAGGATCAAGCTCTGATATATCACCCTCTAACTGTTAATAGCAAGCTGTCGATTGCGATTGAAAAATTTGGATTTTATATACATATATTTCCCAGTAGAAATAACAAACTCAGCTTTATTAGAAATTAGGCTAAGTCGTAGTCGTAGTCTAGGAACTCGTTTCTAACTATCAGCGCTACGTCAGTTAGGCAACTATCCGATAGTCACGTTTCTTCGAAGTCTGCGCGGGATACCCAACGACAACAATGTAATAAATACCTGATAAAATCGAGGCTAACGTTCAGTTTGTTAACGAAATTTACGACGTTATTGAAAGCCCCCTCTATATGAAGAAAGGCACCAATCGCATATTTCAACTACGAGAAGCACTGCCCAATCTTCTGTACAAACGGGCTTGATAGCTGGGACTTACTTTTTACTAGCTGTACACTCCGCCAACAGCTCCGTGATAGACCATGGAAGGGTTCTATGTTTATAGTTTAAAGTTGATTTAGAGTTGCTCACAGGGCATTTGGGAAAGTGGAGAGCTATGTGCGCCACAGCAATGACGATATTTAAAAATAGCTCAAAAAGAAGTCATCAAAATGTGGTATCTTAGATATCCACATGAACCTCTGCCTCTTTCTCGCCATATTTCCATGTGTACCAAACTAAAAACTTTCCTGAATCTCCCACGCAATCACCCTCGCTTTCCTTCCGGCTCAGCGCATCCATGATATGTGGCACAAATTTAATTTAAATGGCATTTTCCGTTTAATTTTGATTTCATATACTTCTTTTTTTGTTTGACTAAAGCTACTTATGTCTATTGAACTTTTATCCCTCAACACATTTGGGACTTCGAGAGCGTTAAGCGGATGCTTACGCAAAACGGGGAGAGTGGACAATGGCGTGGACAAGGGGGTTAGCGGAGGTAAGGTAAGGTTTATAAGCATTTCATTAAAGATGCTCAACGACACTGCTGTCTAAGAGTTATTTGCTACACTAATGTCCGCGCGTTGATGCCGTTTTGCACCCCCACACGTTGACAGACAACAAAGCAGCAGCGAAAAGCAAAGGCAAACAACCCCTCGGATTAACACGGCAATGCCAAGCCCAATGGAACGCAAATGGCAGATTCCAAGCTAAGCGACGGAGATGGACATTAATGCGTTTGCATATATTTTGCCAGATACATACATAGAAACATATATACATATGTGTTTATACAAATAATAGAATATATAAAAGTAAG